TGATTCCCCCTGAAACTGCCACTTCCTGTCTCAGTTGTGGTCTTTTGGGAGGCATGGCAGCCATTGGTTTCTTCCCCACCCCCTCATTTTGGGCACTCTACCCCAAAAAGGTTTGCCTCCACTGCTCTAGTCCATGGGGTCACGAAGAGTCGGACACGACTTAACAACAAAGAACAACAACATACTGCTTTGTAAATATAAGTTTTTCAAGCAATCTTCAAAACAGTTTTTAAAACAGCAAACCACAGAACAATTCCACTATGTACAGCAATCTAAACAGCTTGATAATCTGTTTAAAGAAGAAAGCAGATCAAGAGAGCTGGCAGAATGAAACTTCTGTGGACATCTGTTGAGAGATGCAGCATAAAAGAACAATGCCCTGCTTTTCAAAAGATAAGAACGTTCTTCGAAAGCAGAAAACACAGGTCGGCTTCTATAGGGTTTAATGCAGTATTTCAGACGCCTAAGATCCAAATTATAAAGAACTTTCTATGTTAAAGTCAACACACACTGAATTAGGCTCAGGAAACATGTGGCGGCCAATGAGGCCATTGTAACTAGCAAGGGACTCACTCTTTAGAACCAGCCTCTAAGCCTCACTAGACAAGATGCTGATTCCCTCTCTAGAGAAGTACAGCTTTAAAGGGGAAAGTTAAAACAAACTGTTTGTTTATTCTAACACAAGTCTGCTTCAATCCACATTTGGCAACTTGCTTAGACTGCTGTTGTTTGAAATTGGTCAGCTAAGAGATAGCAAAGCTTTATTTGCACATTCAGTGCCTCTAATACTAAAAATTGAAAAGTCTTCCATGCCTGGTGGGATAATGCTGAGAAGGAAATACACTAAGCATTTGCCTTAACATGTGATCTTACCCTAACTCACCAGTCTGGCACTGTATTCTGGAGCAGGTGAAGTTTAGTTGAACTCTTTTTAAAGGCAGGTCAATGTAGAGTATATTATAGTACAAATGGAATGTAACTAGGGGATATGCCAGTACGTCTGGATCAGATATCTCCAGGAATGGGCACAACTGGTACATTAGCCAGAGCTGTGCAATCATCCAAATGCTGGATATCCAGGTTCAAGGCTGAATCCAGAAGTACACACAACTATAAACTTAAATCTTTAAGGGAAGTGTGAATCCATCCACCACAGGCTGAATCCCTATTACAGGTATCTAATCTTCTTTGAAGTGACCAGAACATCCCTTTCTTGTCTGAATTAAGCTTCAATTTGTTTGCCCTTTCCCCGCCCATTACTGATACCAGAAACTAACTAACTAACTAACTAACTAACTAACTAACTAACTAACTAACTAACTAACTAACTAACTAACTAACTAACTAACTAACTAACTAACTAACTAACTAACTAACTAACTAACTAACTAACTAACTAACTAACTAACTAACTAACTAACTAACTAACTAACTAACTAACTAACTAACTAACTAACTAACTAACTAACTAACTAACTAACTAACTAACTAACTAACTAACTAACTAACTAACTAACTAACTAACTAACTAACTAACTAACTAACATCAGCAGCAGGCAAATCTCAGTCGGGGGGGGGCATTCCATAGTCTGGGGTCAGCTGCCGAAAAGGCCCTTTGTCTACAAGCCATCCCTCTTACCTCCTTGAGGGATGGCTCTCTCAAAAGGGCCCCCTGGCTAGATCTTAACTGCCAGGTAGGCTCATATGGAAGGAGGCAGTCCTTCAGGTATCCAGGGCCCAAGCCGTTTAGGGCTTTATATGTCAAAACAAGCACTTTGAATTGGGCCCAGACAGCAACTGATAGCCAATGTAATTTAAACAGAATCAGCTTGATATGTCCCCTGGCGGCCCCACCACTCACCAGCTGCACACCTCGATTCTGGAGCAGTTGCAGTCACCGGACTGTCTTCAAAGGCAGGCCCACGTAGAATGCATTGCAATAATCTATACAAGATGTTACAATTCCATGTGTAACTGTCATGAGACTCCTCTCGTCCAGGTAGGGCTGTAGCTGGTACAATTTCCACAGCTGAAGGAAGGCGCCCCTGGCCACTGAGTCCACTTGGGCTTCCAGGAGCACCCCCAAGTTGTGGACCCTGTCCCTTAGGGGGAGTGTAAGCCCACTCAGGGCAGGGAAATGGCCCTCCAGCCTGTCCGGCGAAGCACCCACTAACAGCTCTTCCATCTTGTCTGGATTGAGTTTCAATTTATTAACCCTCATCCAGTCCATTATCAGGTCCAGACACGAGTCACAGAAGCTGCCTCACCTGAACTGGTGGAAAACGAGAGGTAGAGCTGAGTGTCGTCAGCATATTGCTGACTCCTCAGCCCAAACCTCCTGATGACCTTTCCCAGCGGTTCCATGTAGATGTTAAACAGCATGGAGGACAGTATCGAGCCCTGAGGAAACTCATGACATAACCGCCATGGAGCAGAGCAACTGTCCCCCAGCACCACCTTCTGGACACAGTCAGCCAAGAAGGAGTGGAACCACCGTAAAATGGTGCCCCCAATTCCCAACACAGCCAGCCCATCCAGAAGGACACCATGGTCGATGGTGTCAAAAGCCACTGAGAGGTCCAGGAGTATCAACAGGGTCACACTCCCCCTGTCTCTCTCCTGGCAAAGGTCATCGTACAGAGTGCTGTCCTCTGAAGATGCCGGCCACAGAGACTGGCGAAACATTAGGAAGAACAATCTTCAGAACACGGCCAAAGAGCCCAAAAAACCCACAACAACCAATAATTTATTTAATTCACAGATCCCTAAAGCTGATATATCATCATATGCTTTAGCACCTTCCATTATCATCATCATTATGAACCATTAGGTCAATTCTGACCTCTTGCAACCTTTTCCAGGGTTGTCAAGGTAGAGAATATTTAGAAGTGTTTGACCATTCCCTTCTACTGGGGGTGCCCTGAGACTATGAAGCTTACCCAAGGCCACACAGGCTGGCTGTCCTTGCAGGAGACACAGTGGGGAATCAAACTCTCAATCTCTGGCCCCGCAACCAAATACCTAAACCACTGAGCTAGCTACCTAGCTCCCCAGGACCTTCCATACACCCTAGAAATTAGCTGACACACTTTGCCCCGGAGGGTTTTCTTTTCCAGCAGAATGCTTCTTTCCGTTTTAGGCACACTGGAGTCACCCCTTTTCACAAAGAGGCATTCAGCATTATCTTTGCCTCCAGCTACCTTTATATGCAAGGAGAAGAAAGGATCAAAAACGCACATGGAAGCTTTCACCTGTTCACATCCTCAGGCCCTACAAGCTGAGAAGTATCCACTATAAATGGACAAGTGGGGGCCAAAGTTACATCTGTCCACTGCTCCTTGTCAACGGTGGCATCCGAGTCAGAATGGATCTGAGCAATTTTATCTGCAAAGTGCAGACAACATTGGTCACAATGGGTGATCAAATCATCTACACTTGTTTCCACTGGGCCAGAATGTAATATGTTTTTGACTACACAAAACAGTTCAGATAGATGACTCTGTAAAGGCACAATGGTAGCAGAATACAACAATGTCTTTGCTGCTATCACCACCACCACAGAGGAGGCTTTCATGGGGGTTTAAGATCGCATTCAGCTGGATTTGCTTTCTTCCAAGGTTGCCCTAGCTACCATCCTACTAGTTTCATCACCCCTTTTCATTTAATACGTACATAGATAACAGTGATTGAAAATCCATGGCTATTTACTTTGGAATAAGTCTCATTAAATGCAGTGAGGCTTGCTTCTGAGTAGACACACATGGGATCGCACTGTAAGCCTTTATCATCTAGAGACAATTTTAGCTGATTTTTTAAATAACTATGTTTAATAACACTTTAATGGTTCATGCAACTTGTGTAATTTTTTGTTTGTCTTAATTATCTGTGATCTGCCTTGAGTCCCTTTCACCAGAGCACAAAAATCAATCAATCAGTCAATCAAAGCTGATTTAAAAAAAAATACTTCAGACCACAGTCGCCACCTAGATTTTGAGGAGCAATACTGGACCCCAGAAATCTCTCAGGCTATAAGCATGATCCATATTTCAGGAAGTAAATTTTCTTACAAGATAGGCACTTCTTTACTTTGTCCACTGATCTGTCACAACTATAAATTCTGTCATCTGACTTTGTTTTTAATTTATTCAACCTCAATAAGAATTCAATCACTAGATAGACATTAGTTCCATGTAGGATAAATGACATGATGTCTGAATTCGCCGTTTGTCTTTCTGGAACTAGTGCTTTGTTCTTCCCCCTTTATGCTGTCCATAACATGAAATGAAATAGGAAAGGGCACTTGGAAAATATAAGCGGGGGAAGACACAATTTGATGAAATGATATAGCTATCCTAAGTATACAGAGTCAGCAAACAAAGCAGAGTTGGCAATATTTGTTTATAAAAGCGATTTCTCCTGTTAATTCTTGCTCTTTGCTCAAAAGTAATTCGTTTTGCTAATTACCAATTATTAGCATATTACTAACATGTAACTTTAAAATTTTTTAAAGCACTTGTGAAAAGTCAAAAATAGCCCAAATTCCCTATAATACCTCCCCAAAGTGACATTTAAAGAGTTATAAACAAATGTAATTCTAGTCATCTAAGCTGCTTTTAACAAATAACATCATTGCTACTTACCAGTCCCTCAGAGTAAAGCATTACAGGTAATGTAGTTATTTTTTAAATGTATTACTCCTAAACTTTGGAACAAACATAGCAATCACATTATGAACATACAGAAAAATCTTAAAGTAACAATGAGGAGGTTATGTACTGTAATCCAGATGACCAGTTCATGGGATTATTTAGGTAGCAGGTGAAAAGAATAAAAAATGAATGTAAATTCTGAAAAACAATAGATTTAACATTTCAGCTTTTTCCATACTTGGTGGCTGACCTACAACCAAACTGAACAAGACAAACTGTCTTAGGTAACCAAAGACAAATGATCTGTCATCCTCAGGTTCTTTCTGTTGTCAGTCTGCATTATTATAGTACCTTTCTCCAGCTTTTTGTCTTCTTCAGAGAAAACTATGGGATATTCTGTGCAGTCTTTAGATGCCAGAAGAAAGCCAAGCTGTCATGCAACCAAGAATGAACAGCAGTTTGTCCAGAGTGAAAATGTGGTGTCATAGAGGCTACGTTTACTTCATCAGCAGCTTAGGCCTTACCCATGTGACAAAATGGGTTCATCATTTGTGAGGAATCGGTGAAGTGCCCTCATTTATGAATATTTGACCTCTTCCATAATGAGAAAAATTAAACAGGGATTGTGACATTCCTAGTTCAAAGGACTTTAGAAAAAAAACTTTTCTATTCTAGACTTTTCATATCAGGGACTACTCTGTGGACAGAGCTCACAGACACACTCCCCATCCAGGGTTCAAGTCACAATTGCAATCTCTATGGCAACTGTGATACCTGGTGCATTTGTACACACAGAGCTTAGACAAGATTCAGGAGACTCCTCTAACATCTTGATTTGTAAGGTAATGGTTTTGATCTCTGCCACATACTCCACATGTATCCTCAGCAATGTGGTGTGTCTTTATCTTCATCCTGTACCTCCTGTTTTATTTGTGAAGGAATACACTCAATGGTTTGCATGTGTGTTTAAGTGTGTGTGTGTGTGTGTGTGTGTGTGTGTCTCCTAAATGTCACAGCGATGAATCATACCACTTTGGTCAGGTGTAGCTAAGTGGACTTCTCTGTTTATAAACTAAACCCCAAACATTTTTCAAAATGGAGTCACAAAATATCCATCTGGGCAACAGGAAAGACAGTTTAATTTAGATCTGCCGTGTTTCCCTGAAAATAAAACAGGGTCTCTTAATTTAGATCTGCCATGTTTCCCTGAAAATAAGACAGGGTCTTATATTAATCTTTGCTCCAAAAAAACACATTAGGGCCTTGATAGGATGGAGCAGTGGGCCGAAAGCAACAGAATGAAATTCAACAGGGATAAGTGCAAAGTACTGCAACTCGGAAAAGGAAACCAATTGCACAGCTACAAGATGGGGGATACCTGGATCAGCAAAACAACGAGGAAGAAGGATTATGGAATTGTTGTAGATCACAAGCTAAATATGAGCCAACAGTGTGATGTGCCTACAAAAAAGGCAAATGCTATTTTAGGCTGCATTAATAGAATTATAGAGTTTCCAAATCCCGCTAGTTACCCTCTATTCAGCACTGGTTAGAGTTTCCAAATCCTGCTAGTTACCCTCTATTCAGCACTGGTTAGGCCTCACCTTGAGTATTGTGTCCAGTTCTGGACACCACACTTTAAGAAAGATGCTAACAAATTGGAACAAGTTCTGCGGAGGGCGACAAGGATGATCAGGGGGCTGGAAACCAAGTCCTATGATGAAAGGTTGAAATAATTGGGCATGTTTAGGTAAAGGTTCCCTTTGACAATTGTCCACTCATGTCCAACTCTAGGGGGCAGTGCTCATCTCTGTTTATAAGCCCTAGAGCCAGTGTTTGTCCGTAGAGAGTTTTTGTGGTCATGCGGCCAGCGTGACTAGAAACAGAACACCATACTAGAAACAGAACACCATTACCTTCTTACTGTGGCGGTACCTATTTATCTACTCGCATTTACATGCTTTCGATCTGCTAGGTTGGAAGGAGCTGAGACAAGCAACCGGAGCTCACTCCATTGCTTGGATTCGAACTGCTGGTCTTTCAACCTTGCAGCCCAAAGGCTTTTGCGGTTTAACCCGCAGCGCCACCACGTCCCCATTGTGCATGTTTAGCCTTGAGAAAAGAAGACAGGGGTAATATGATAGCAGTTTTCAAATATTTGAAAAAGCTTTCATTCAGTGGATGGGCAAAATCTGTTTTCGATCATCCCAGAGTGCAGGACACACAATAATGGGCTCAAGTTAAAGGAAGCCAGGTTTTGGTTGAATATCAGGAAAAACGTCATTGAGCAGGGGGTTGGACTTGATGGCCTTGTAGGCCCCTTCTAACTTCACTTTTCTATGATTCTATGATTTTCAGGGGATGTTTATTTTTTTCCTGGACAACAATCTACATTTATTCCAACAGAGTCATGTCATCTCCTTCTGGTTGCTGCACAATGCTTCACAATGGTGGAGGGTGGGGTTTCACTTAACAGGGGCTTATTTGGGGGTTAGGGTTTATATTATGAGCATCCTGAAAAATCATATGAGGGCTTATTATCAGGTTAGGTTTTATTTTCAGGGAAACAAGGTACTGTATATACACATGATACTGAAAACCCACTCTCAGCATCCTGGCAATGCACCTCAAGGCCTACCAGGTAGTTTTGGTGTATTATTTGCTTTAGACTTGGGAACCTCTTAATTCCAGAGCATCTGATTCTACATCTTAACTTTTCAATAAATTTTGCTTCAGAGTCTATAAAGAATGTATCACTAAAAGCAGCAACGTCTGAAGTGCTGGAAGAAATCTAATTGTCACAATTTCCCCAGTTTGCTTTTCTTTCTGGTTGGTCATCAAGAGGTAAACATAGGCAAATGTGATGGTTCAGACACGAAGATCTACCAGGATCCCACCTGTGGAACAGCTGTACACTTTCAGATTCTAATAATGTGCTGTCTGTAACGTAACATTTGACTGTTGGTTGCTGCACGGCTTTGAGTCATCTGATATCCCCACACACTTAGATCACCTCATACCATATAAATGACAAAGTCAGGGAGGAAAAGGAGGGACAGAAGGGAAGCATTCAGTTCAGTCAAGGTTAAAGTTTTGCACTGAAGAAACTGCACTCTATTCACCTTTATAACCTCATATTACTTAGCTCCCTCATTCCTAATACCTTCCTGTAACTATGATGATGATGTTGATGATAACAACTTCAATTTCTTGGATGTCTGTTTCTAAAAGAGGCTCTAGGAAACTTTGGGAATTAAATATGCAGTGGTTAAAAACAATAACATTACGTAAGTAGCCCCTCAGCCCAAGAACAAACGGTAGAGGTAATTAATAGGCCTGATATTTTGAAACTGTACTTTCAGCCAAGAAGAAGAGTTCTAGCCTACGTTCCTTCCTAATGTTTACTCCTTATTTTAAAACCCAAACTTTCTACAAAGGTAGCTCCAACCCAGGAAGAATGGTCCCCCAAACTAAACGTAAGAGGGCCAGGCCTTCATATAAGGAAAGAAAAGGTCTAGACTTAAGTTATGGGACTGTAGCCAAGAATGCCTGTCTGTGGATCTTTGCAAGAACAGCGCATGGGTGACTCACAGAAAGACAAATAATTGTAAACTTCCGCTCTGAGTGCCTTCACATGAATGAACAGTGTAACCTAATTCCATATAATATTGCTGCTTCAGGTTGATCAGGACCTCTGGGGATCCAAAGTCCTCACCAAACCTATTTATGGAATCCTCCTAGGAACAGAAGAGGCTTTGCAGAAGCACTTGATCAAATGATCTAGCTGGTTATATTTGAGTGTGCTAACAAGTGGGGGAAATCCATGATGTTGTCACCTTCTGATCACAAATACCAGTTTTCCTGAGTTCTGGCACCCAGCAGATAGGTTGGACTCAGAGGTGGCTTGTCTACTGGCATGGGATGACAGACACCCACCCACACCCCAACCTTTCAGGAGCAGGTGACCGCCCTTGATATGAGTCATCTCTGGTGAGAACAGGAGTGCAATTCCAGTTTTCTTGCCAGCTGGAATGGTCAGGATTATAGCACAGCAGTTCAAAGATGCCAGACAGGGAAAAGCTCATATACATATTACAGAGTATAGGTTATAAATTGGCTTTTGTATACAGGAAAGATGGACGACTTTTCCAAACTGCGATGCAGCTGTGGGTAGTGATCGAATGTTGGAAGGTGGAGATCCCTCATGTCTTTAGCATACCAAACTGTGGTTGTTCCTCTTCCCTACCTCTCCTTCTCCTTTGCCCTCAATGGTCAAAGATGATTAAGGCACTAACTCCATCAGTTTAAGCCTTGATCCAGCAGGCTGTGTGTTAGCTTGGACTAGAAATAGCAACCAGCCCAGCTGTATCAACGAGTAAGGAGATGTTATAGTATTTCATTGTGAGTATACCTGGCAAATGCTTTTAGTACACTAGAGTGGGAGGGTAAAATCTTGCTCTGACAAGATGTAACAAAGACTTCAGTTTTTCAAACATGCTAGGCTCAGCCTGATTTCCCTCTTCATAGCAGGATTCTCATGAAATGCTCTGCCTTTCCTCTTCTCAGCCTTCCATTTTGTGGCAGATGTATTGACACGTGTGTGGAACTCATCAGTGCCCTTCAAAGCATGTTCTTATTAGCAATCCCCTTTAGTATACCTCTCAACTGCTTCTGAAACTCTGCTTCAAAAAAGCAGCTTGGAGCTCTGATACAAAGAAGTAATGATAGAGGAACCACATCCAAAGCAGGTACACAGTATTCTTCCCCACCCCACAATGACATTATGAACAATGTAATTGCCCAACATGGGTTTTACACTCACAAAATGTAAGCTACCACTGGGGGGATTTGCTGAGAGAGAAGGTGTTTAATAATTATTGTGATGACCCACCCTCATATGCACTCTGGTCATTTCCCAGACTTTCTTTAATGATTGAGAGAGTGGTAGGTACTTTGCTTGTTGTACTGCAATAATTGTATTAGATTAGGGTGTGACTACACTATTGAATTAATGGCAAACTATGTGATACATCGTCACTTTGGCATTCCAGGTCCCCGTTTCCCCAATTTTTGCTCTGAGTGGGAACTTATTTCTTCACCCTGTTCTTGGGGCAGAGCTTGCCTGCCTTGAGATGGCTGACACCGGACTCAGCAACTTTTATTCCACAAAGCCAGCATCAGCAGCCTGCTCCTCAGCCCACAACTACTCTAACAGCCATTTCCTGTGTCCTTCAAGAATAGTTATATTCGGTAAATCACATTTTAAAATATTTAATATTTTTATATTACATTTTGAACTGGCATAGCGCTAACTTGATGGGGAGCTAAAATAGCAATGGATAGAAGAAAAGGAAGAGTTTGGGCTGCAGGGTATCCTGCAATTCAAAACCCATTGTACTTGCCAAACCCCCAGAGACCACAAAAGACAGTACTTACTCCAACACAGGCCAAATCGAATATATATATATGCACACTTAACTATATGTAGTGTTGTTGGAGATTTTTTTATTCAATTTCAATCCTGCCAAACTGGACACAAAAATATAAGTATTTTGATGCATAGTTGTGCCCTTAGTTAATGTTCATTTCTATTTTGCTAGGAAATCATAGTTTTAAGACCATGTGCAAGTGAAGTCTGAATTACTGAAAAAAAATGTTTGTTTTCCTTATGGACATCTGAAAATAAGCCTGCAGGGATTA